TAAACATTTTAAGCATCAGAGTCTTACATGTGTCTATTTCTGAAACGTTTTTACGTGCTCCTTCTTCCGGATACTATTAAAATGATCCAATTTGCATACGGTACAGTGCGGTATGATGCGAAATGACGCATGTAATTGCGACACGCCCACCGCGTTGTACCGCATACCCCACTCGTTTTGAATGGCTGCATCTGTATGTGTGCAAAGAGCTAGGGATGCAGAAGTGTGTAAAAGAGAGAGGGGTGTTTTCGAGGAGGAACACTTCAGAATTTTCAGTAACCCTGAACTATCCCTTAAAGGCTTTTATGATAGGTAGATGCATCACAGAATGCAACGAGAAATTAGATTATTTTGCTGTTGGGTGGCACAACCTCGTGTATCAATCACTGAGTCAGGGAATCCAGAGACCTTAGAAGGGGTTAACACTCAGGTGGAGTTAGATGAAGAACTAAAGGGTCTTCACTGGTTGAATATCTGTTGCCTCTAATCCCAGTCTCAGTGATAACTGAAATTTCCCCAGGGAGGTAAACAAGAAAAGTGCTACTCTTGGAGGAGAGTTCTATAAAACCAGTCAGGTTGTTGCCTAATATTCTTTTAACACTCAAGAGGCTAAGCCTGGAGTGCTCATGCTCTGGGAAAGGATTAGAGACTGTAGGTATAGTCTCACCAGAGCTGCATAGTCACTGGAACCTCAAAACAAAATGCTGTAACAGGCTACAGAAATCCCACAGTCCTGCAAAAAAATATGTAAAATTCATCTGCCGACAGCAATCCTCCATGAAAGAGGTGCATTAGCTTTCCTTTACACTGTAATCAGTTTTTACTTTGGTTGTTAGTAATGCAGATGGCATTTTTGCTCATTTTCAATGATTTATTGTTTTAATTCAAGTTAAGTATTTCAAATTATCAATGAATTTACAGACCACTTAATTTGACATGCAAATAGATTACACAAGGTTAGTTGTTTTCTTAGACCTCTTGCTATGTAAAAAGTAAAATAGACTGTGTGGTAAATCCTAAAAATGTATTTCTCTTATATCGTGTGAGATAGTATGTTGTAGAAATGGAAGTGTTTTGTTTTGTTTTAAGTTTAAAAGGTTTACTTATTTCATTTACTGTATGTTCTATGCTTTGTGGTGCCATGGGGGTAGTTGACACCGCATTGGGCGTGGACAGTGTAATGTAGTGTGCTCTCTGAAGGCACCAGTTCTGTAGGGTTTGGGCATTTACTGGGACAAT